CTACTGGCCAACTACAACATATTTGGTTAAGGGACATACTATTTGCTAAAACTCTGAATAAAGACCAGTATAGAGAAAGTAGCAACATAGGAGTATAAAATAGACAGGTTGAGGTTTAATGAGAGCTAGAAGTTCATTTCACCCAGCCTGAATTTCATACTGTGGGTTGGTCAGGGCACAAGGCCATAATATCTGGGGTAAAATAGGCCTGTGGTTTACAGACTGAATTCTCTAGAACCCTAGGGCCACTTAGTTCTTCTATGGTTCCACAACCAGCATTTATTGCTATCTTTTTTATACAATATGCAAGCTGTCCCTTTGAAAATGGTTTAACACACTGAATTAACAGATAACAAAGCCAAACCTAAACAACTCTTTTCCTAAAGGATCTATATATCTTTGGGACCACTACTTATAGGTTGAAATCACAGCTAAAATCAAACGAAAGCTAACCGAGGCTTTCCCTATGATCCTCCCATTCTCAGGAAGAACCTACACAATGGTGTGTCCTCCAGTATCAAGGAGCTAGAATGCCTAATAAGGGCCAGTAAGGCCATTTACCTATTCTTTAGTTAACATCCTTTGTGAAGAAAAAATTTAATGACAATAAATTTCCTTTCCAAACAGGTGAGTGCTGGTTGAAATTAAAAATCTGAATCATGCATCTTTACTTACATTGTTGATCCTAACTAACAGTCAAATTAATTGACTTCATCTGTCACCCTATTGCACTCAATTCACATGCTAGCAAGGTAACGCTCAAATCCTTCAAGCTAAGTTTCAGCAGTATGCGAACTGAGAATTTCCAGACATAACAAGCTGGATTTAGAAAAGACAGAGGAACCAGAGATCAAATTGCCAGCATTCACTGGATCATAGAGAAAGCAAGAGAATTTAAAAAAGAAAAAACATCCGCCTCACTGACTACACTAAAGTCTTTGATGGTGTGGATCACAACAAACTGTGGAAAATTCTTAAAGAGATGGGAATACCAGACCACCTTACCTATCTCCTGAGAAATCTGTATGCAGGACAAGAAGCAACAGTTAGAACTGGACAGGGAACAATGGACTGGTTCAAAATTGGGAAAGGAGTATGTCAAGGCTGTATATTGTCACCCTGCTTATTTAACTTATATGAAGAGTACATCATATGAAATGCTGAGCTGGGTGACTCACAAGTTGGAATCAAGATTGCTGGGAGACTCAACTCCAGAAAAATAAATGACCCAATCAAAAAATGGAGAGGGTGTGGAGAAAAGGGAACCCTCTTACACTGTTGGTGGGAATGCAAATTAGTACAGCCACTATGGAAAACAGTGTGGAGATTTCTTAAAAAGCTGGAAATAGAACTGCCATATGACCCAGCAATCCCACTTCTGGGCATACACACCAAGGAAACCAGATCTGAAAGAGACACGTGCACCCCAATGTTCATCGCAGCACTGTTTATAATAGCCAGGACATGGAAGCAACCTAGATGCCTATCAGCAGACGAATGGATGAGGAAGCTGTGGTACATATACACCATGGAATATTACTCAGCCATTAAAAAGAATTCATTTGAATCAGTTCTAATGAGATGGATGAAACTGGAGCCCATTATACAGAGCGAAGTAAGCCAGAAAGATAAAGACCATTACAGTATACTAACACATATATATGGAATTTAGAAAGATGGTAATGATAACCCTATATGCAAAACAGAAAAAGAGACTCCGATGTATAGAACAGACTTGTGGACTCTGGGAGAAGGCGAGGGTGGGATGTTTCAAGAGAACAGCATCGAAACATGTATATTATCTAGGGTGAAACAGATCACCAGCCCAGGTTGGGTGCATGAGACAAGTGCTCAGGCCTGGTGCACTGGGAAGACCCAGAGGGATCGGGTGGAGAGGGAGGTGGGAGGGGGGACCGGGATGGGGAATACATGTAAATCCATGGCTAATTCATTTCAATGTATGACAAAAACCACTGCAATGATGTAAAGTAATTAGCCTCCAACTAATAAAAATAAATGGAAAAAAAAAAAAGATTGCTGGCAGAAATATCAACAACCTCAGATATGCAGATGATACCACTTTAATGGCAGAAAGCAAAGAGGAACTAAAGAGCCTCTTGATGAAGGTGAAAGAGGAGAGTGAAAAAGCTGGCTTAAAACTCAACATTCAAAAAACTAAGATCAAGGGCCATGGCGTCACTTCATGGCAAATTGGTGGAAAAAGTGGAAACAGAGACAGATTATTTCTTGGGCTCCAAAAATCACTGTGGATGGTGACTATAGCCATGAAATTAAAAGACACTTGATCCTTGGAAGAAAAACTATGTCAAACCTAGATTGCATATTAAAAAGCAGAGACATCACTTTACCAACAAAGGTCTGTGTAGTCAAAACTATGGTTTTTCCAGCTGTCATGTATGCATGTGAGAGTTGGACCATAAAGAAGGCAGACTGTCAAAGAATGGATGCTTTCAAACTGTGGTGCTAAAGAACACTCTTAAAAGTTCTTTGGACAGCAAGGAGATCAAACTAGTCAAACCTAAAAAAATCAACCCTGAATATTCATTGGAAGGACTGATGCTGAAGCTCCAATACTTTGGCCATCTGATGTGAAGAGCCAACACACTGGAAAAGACCCTTACACTGGGAAAGATTGAGGGCAGGAGGAGAAAGGGGTGACAGAAGATAAGATGGTTGGATGGCACCATTGACTCAATGGACATGAGTTTGAGCAAACTCAGGGAGATAGTGAAGGACAAGGAAGTCTGGTGTGCTGCAGTTCATGGGGTCGCAGAGAGTCAGACATGACTTGGCCACTGAACAGCAACAACAATTGACTTCATTTGTCACACAACTTAACACTTTTGTCCTTGAATCTCAGCTCTGTCCTTCTGAGTCACATGGAATAATTCATTCATTTGTTCCCACAACAAAATTTCCTTGGCTGCCCTCGAAAGGAAGGGACTGGAGTTACTAGGAGAGTAAGAAAGTCGTGGTCCCTATTCATGGAGTATCTACCAAAAAAGAACTGTCAAACTTATAGAGGATGGCTTGCTCCATCAACCTCTGGATTACCAACTGAGAAAACCTTGACTGCATTCCTTTGACATAGTTCAAAGGAATAAGTTCAACATCTTTTCTGTATGACAGACTTTCAGGTATTTGAGGACAACTATGCTGTCCTTATCCAACCAGTCCATCCTGAAGGAGGTAAGTCCTGGGTGTTCATTGGAAGGACTGATGCTGAAGCTGAAACTCCAATACTTTGGCCACCTCATGTAAAGAGTTGACTCATTGGAAAAGACCCTGATGCTGGGAAAAATTGAAGGCGGGAGAAGGGGGACGACAGAGGATGAGATGGTTGGAGGGCATCACCAACTCAATGGACATGGGTTTGAGCACACTTCGGGAGTTGGTAATGGACAGGGAGGCCTGGCGTGCTGCAGTCCATGGGGTCACAAAGAGTCGGACACGACTGAGTGACTGAAATGAACCGAACTGAAAGAGAAATTACCTCTGCCCTGGTGTGGTCCTGTTCTAGTGACCAGGACTAACTAACAGAGAAGCCCACATTTTTAAAATAAGTCAAGGATGAAGCTAGAAAAAGGAACTCGAGTAGTGTGCTCCGGCAAGGCATCTGTGTGTGTGTGTGTAACTGACGTCAGAAACCTAACTCTGAAAACTCTCTTTCTCTGTTTCTCAATATTTTGTTCCCATCTTTTGACTTAATCTCTTTTTAAAAATATATTACTTTCAAAAATTTCTGTCCAAGTTGGTAGAAGTGGAAAGGAAATGCTTTCTCTTTTCCGCAGTGGTGCAGAGAGGCTGGGTAGTCTCAGGGAGGGTGCGGAAGTGACCGCACACCGGCTGGCAGAGCTGGCAGACCGTGAGCAGAGCTGGATCCCTTCCAGACGGCTGGACCCCACTGCAACCCGGTGTGTGGGGCACAAACACCCCCACCTTGAGTCGTCTCTTCCTACGACTTCTGGCTGGAGTCTTGAGGACACGGCTCTGGTGCTAGTCACTCAGTTATGTCCGACTCTTTGTGACCCCATGGACTCCAGTCCACTAGGCTCTTCTACCCATGGGGTTCTCCAGGCAAGAATACTGGCGTGGGTTGCCATTTCCGTCTCCCTGGTGGACGTGAGGAGGGTCCTATATCCCCTGGAGGCTGATAGAAGGTCGTCGCGTCCCCGGGAGGCTGCAGCCTTCTATGCCGCCCCAGGCAGGGGCCACGGAACCGGGCGCCTGCGTGAGCGTGTGTAGAGCATCCCGGGGAGCTAGGACCTGCCTTCCGCCACTCGCGGAGGTCACAGACCAAGGGCTTAGTAACTGTTACCGCAGGCGTTTCTGGAGGCATTGCGGCGCGTTATTGGGGGAAATCGCTCCAACTGGGGGCGGAGGACACTCGCTCTCCCTCCAGGAGCCGCACTTCCTGGGAGGCTTCCTCGGGAGGTGGCGCCACAGCCCGCCGCTGCGCCGCAGCTGCCGCCTTTCCCCAGCGGAACCCGGGCAGCGCAAACACCAGGTGGAGCGCGTCGGTGGCTGGGCCCGAGCCGCGGCCGGACCCCAGCAGCACGGCTTCTCTGGCGCTCTGAGTTTTGGCGCGTGGCCATCGGAACCCCCCTCCACCCCGCGAGGCTCTCCAACGCACAGAGGGAGTGGAGGGGCCCAGGACCCGCCCTGATGACCCAGGGGCTCTTCTTTAGGCCACGGCTGCTCTTTATGCCTCTGTGGGAGCGCCCACGGAGGACCTCGGTTGGTGACTGAGAACCAATCCCCCACAACATCCATCTGCCGTGGGGAGCCCCAAATCCGCTCGCGAACACCATTTAAAAAAAATCTTTAGCGATTCAGAGCAGGCAGTTCTTAAGTCCTAAAAATCTACGGAGTTTCCCGCTTGAGGCGCAATTAGACATCGGTCCGGCAGCAGCGGCCGTGAGCGAAATGCCGAGCAGCTTTAGGGCACATTTCCCCAGGAGGAAAGACGTGTGTGGCCATCATCTCTCCGCGGCTAAGCTATGAGTTCCAGCAGGGGCTCGGGCCCTCTTAGCTCCGCAGATCCGGTTCAGGACCCGGTTCCGGGATCCGAGGTTCTGGCATTCTCGGCTCTCGGGAAGAGGACTCGCGGCCCGCGCGGTCGCTTTGGGCAGGAGGTCCCGCGCCGCGGCGCCTGCGGGACGCCGAGCCTGAGAAGGAGCCGATTCCGAGCGCTGGAGAGTTTCCAGAGATCCGGGAGGGGGCGATATTCGCCAATCCCTTCCCCCAGAGCAACCGTGCAGACTGGGGGTGGCTGGGGTGGAGGACCTGCACGTGTCGGTAACGAAACTATGGAGCCGAGGGCCTTCCCACCCGGGGGCCTGCTAGACACGGAGCGTGCGGCCAATTTTCCAGGTTTCCTCTTGCCTCTCCTCCGGTCACCGTTCTGATCAAACTCCAGCCACTCTCTCCCCCGGTCACAACCCTCACCCTCGTACGAAGGAGAATGAGTCCGAAGAGCGCACTACAGCAGACGCTTCGTTTTCAACTTTTCGTTCCAGCTGTCTTCATCCAAATCCCAGGCCATCTTTCTCGGCTTCGTTTCCACGGAATAGTTGATAGCAGACAAGGAAGCGCTAGTAGTGGCGGACTTGAACCTGAACCTGAGAGCTGACGCTGTGAATTTGATATCTTTAATTCTTGGTTCGACCTTCCCGAGCGTTTCTGGGAATGTGTTTGGGGACAGTCCCGCAAGCAAGAGTCCTGCTTCAACCCTCTTTCCCTCATTTGGGACAGTTCAGAATAGGACGACATGTGAGGTCTCCTAAACCATTAAGATCCTCTGGTCGGCCAGAAGAGTCTCAAGTAACTAGTTACTTTGTCTTTGAGAACCACTATCCATTTGTAAGCACCTACTTAATGTCTGTTCGCTGGGGTATACAGATATCCATGGCATAGCATTCAAAAGACAGCCCTCCACCGACCTAAAACACACACACACATACATCCCACTGCCATTTATCTTACCTTCATTTAAAATATAATTTTAGACGTTGTTTATTCTGTACATCATTTTCATCATGAATAAATAATTTCCATGTAGTCCTTGAACTGCCAGCTGATGGGGGAGAACAGATTTGAGGACTTTTCAACCTTCAATAAAAAGAGGAGGACTTTACGACTGGGGTGAAAAGGGGCTGCTGAGCTAAGCCAATGGGGCAGCCGGCCTTTACTGTGTGCGAAAGCATTCAGACACATGGCGACCCCTTCGCAATAAAACTTTATTGATGATCGTTTGAAAGTTATGGCAACTCCAAGGTTATAAAACCTGCCATAAAATACCAAACAGTCATTAGTTTACCTGACCTCATTTCAATATAAACTTCCACAAAACATTTTATTTTGTTCCTTCCTATAAGTGGGGAAAAGAAATTGAGGAGGCAAGACACAGTGGCCTGTTATTGAGGACCCAAGATCTGCAGTTGGACACTCTGACCTTCATTCCCACAAACAAAACAGTGAAATTCACACTTTGTTATTTTCCATGACTATTACTGTAGAAAAGATGATAATAATAGCAATGTTTTTGTTCAATCACCTGTTTTTAGCACATATCCAGGTTCTAGTTAGGATGGAGAGTTGTTCCTCTTTGGAAGACCTTGCGAGATACCTTTAACAGTTGTTAAAGTGCATTTGCTCCCTAACCTAGGTGTGAGAAACCTAAGGATAGCCACTGTGGAAAACAACATGGAGGTTCCTCAAACAAATAAATAAAAAATAGAACTATCATACCACCCAGCTATTCTGTGTCAAGCTATTTCTCCCTCAAAAACACTAACCCAAAACACTATTCAAAAAGATATATGTGCCACTATGTTCATTGTAGCATTATTCACAATACCCAAGATATAGAAGCAACCTAAATGTCCACAGATAGATATGTATACATCTCATATCTTGTTTATATAAAAATTCCATTATATATAGTAGAATATTAATCATCCACAAAAAGAAGGAAATCTTGCCATCTGCAAAACATGGACAGACCTAGAAACAGACTCTTTGCTGGAGAGAACAAATTGCTGGCTGCCAGAGGGTAGATGTGTAGGGGAATGGGCAAAACTGGTGAAGGAAGGAAATTATGACAAAATTTCAGTCATAAAATAAATAAGTCACAGGGATATAATGTACAGCATGGGGAACAGAGTCAGTAACATGGTAATAACTTTTTATGGTGACAGAAGGTAACTATACTTATCATTGTGATGAACTGGTAATGTATAAAATATTGAATCACTGTGTTGTATACCTGAAACTAATATAACATTGTAAGTTAACTAAATTTCAATATAAAAAAAAATTTTTGCCTTCCCCCCAATAGTGCCAAATCCACATTGAGGGCACAGATTAGGCTGTTTTGCTGTTTTACAAATAATACAGGGAGGGGTAGCTGAAAAAGAAGAAGGGAGAGGAGGAGGGGGTGGGCTCTGGGTGGGAGGAGAAGAAGCAAATAGCCACACACTATTTGGCAGGTGACCTGAAGAATGAATTGTGTAAAATAATCAACTTGTGTTTAGAGTTACTGAAAGGTCAGATGAATAGTGAATTCCCCACCACAAAATCATGAACTTCAAAGAATGCATCTACTTTAACTGAGATCAGCAATTCGAATTATACTGCAGAAAAGAACTCAAAGTAGTGCTCCAGGAAAGCTCCAGGAGGTAACGAGCTCAAGTTCGGTCATCATTGTTTCCAATACAAATGTGTACATGTACCAGAAAGTATAGTAACTGTACAAGTGTACCAGACTTACACTGCTGATCAGAGGAAGAATCAGCCACAAAACAGTGATAACTTTGAATAGTTTCTCACTTGTCCAGATTCCAATTTGGATGGACTGAGGCTGATATTCTCCTAACGCTGTATAACTAAGGTCAGCCTACCTGCCCTAAAAAGGGCAAAGAGATTTGTGAGCATGCCCAGACGGCAAAGGTTGACCTTGTGTGAGCTGTGTGCTGATTCTCCCCAAACAAGGAACAGTCTGGGTGTACTTTTCATGGATTGTTTAAAATACAAGCACCAAGATAGACCCAGGCATATATGCATTTATGATGGTTTAGGAATCTAATATGAAGAACGCTAACTGCTTTATGACCTCGCTGGAACTCATCTTGGTAATGTTATGCTTAGTTTCCTGGTGTGCCTTAAAATATTTCAGGGATTTCATGGAATTTTAACTAGAAAAGAACATTTTAAAAATAAAAATCTTATGTAAAATGCTGCTTTCTTCTACAGAGTATATAGGGGTGTGTGTGTGTGTGTGTGTGTGTGTGTGTGTGTGTTTAAGAGAGAAAAGTCATATCAGAGAAAGGGAAAGAGGTGGAGCTGGAGAGAGAAGTATAGGATACAGTACTAATTAAAGGGCACATTTTCCTGGTATCCACAGCTTTCCCTGTTGGTGGGTACAAGTTCCAGCAATTTGGGTTACCATTTCATACTCTCAGGCAGAGTGATGCCAGGCATCAAAAGAAAGATTCTATTTTCCCAATGACTTCCAGGAAGAATAAAAGAAAATGACCTTGTGGATCTACAAAGAAGTCCATAGACTGAACATGATGTTTTTATTGGTCTTGAGAAGCAAATAAGAGATCTAAATTCAGATCTTTGAGCTTAGGACATTTTCAAAAGACTCCTGCAGTTATAAGAGATAACTTACTCAGAGATACGTTGACATACTGTTCTTATAATTGAGTTCATTAAATTTATTTGTTGAGATAGACACACGTGCAGTACTGTATTATCAATATGTGTTGTAACAGCAATAGTAATGAATTTAGTTTGTAATGTTTATATTAATATCTCTCTGCTATTAATCCTATTACTCATTTGCTTTTCCTAGATGTCTTAAAAGAGTGATATTAATATAAAGGAGAAAAGTATCTATTTTAATCTTTTATAAAAAATATTTCTCTCTTATATTCTATTTTCCTTCTCAAAACAACTATTCTTCACCCAAAAAGGTCATTTTGACTCTCTTGAGTAATGTCACCTATCTTCACATTCATATGAATGATCTCCATTCAGCTCTGTTTAAGCATATTTACCAAAGAAGCACCCATTTGGACTCACTTTTCTGAACTCTCCCTTATACCATATTCTGGAAAAGGTATGGAAATTACCCAAGAATTTTAAAAATAGTTTTCATGTCAAAAAATTGTAAAAGGACAACACGTCATGCACACAGTTCTTTTTCTTATATCCTCCTCTGTTTAGAGACACAGAGGTGAATAGAAAATGTTCCCAAGATGCTATGTGCTCCTCCAAATTCCACCCACCCTTGTTTTCCTGGGTGATCTGGTTCATTAAGGCTTAACTACATAATGAGAAGTATGTCTTCAACAGCGTGGCAAGGTGGGGGCTTATAAGTATGTTTGTCTGAAGTTTTGGGGACAGCTGGGTGGTAGGATTGTGAAATCCCCAATTATGCCCTGAGTCCTGTACAGATGACATGTACAGGCTGCATAGCTCTGCCCTCATCATTTCTATTGACACAAGAAATTTTCCCTTATGAGGAAAAAGCACAGCTTTTATGTAGCATCATCCAAATAGCATTCATTGCTCTTATATAATTTAATATATCTTACCCCAAGGGCATATTTTCTACAATGAGACTAATTTGCTCTAATAGGAATAATAATGCCTCCATGTACCTAATACCTTTATCCCCCCCTCAAAACCCTCACGTGACTTAGCAGTTCCATGAGGAAACACACAGATCATGTGCACGTGCGGCCAGAAGCTGTGGTTCATCTTACATACAACTCTATGGAGTTAACTCTCTAGTTTCTGTTCACTTTTCTCCCTCCTTCTCTCTCTCTCTTTTTTTTGGTCCTTTTTGACGTAGGGAACCCTTGAGAAACAGAAAATCTTTTTTTTGTTTCACAGTTAAAATATAAAAGGTTTAATTCCAAAGTGTATTTTTTGTTTACCTTCATTGAAAGAGGACAATTTAGAGAAGACTCTGGAAGTCATAATTCATATATAACTTAGCAATGTCTGAAATTCCAGCACAGAATTTAAATGACACATCTTTCTACTGTATATTCTCTTAGGGAGAAGAGTGGATGGATACACACTTTCAGTTCGAAAAGAAAAATTGAAGAAATGATGCATACTCACACAGGTTACCATTTGAGGACTTCATTTTATATCAGAGTTGAAGAAAATGTATAGAGCTGGTTTTGAATGATAAAACTCTCTGGATTGAGAATATGGGAGATCTGAGAGGTATGTAGGTACTTGAAGCTATTCTCTCCGTTGTTTTGAGTTGGCTTTTTGGTCCCTACAAGTTGATTTGCTTTCTTTAATCTTTAAATCCATTTATTAATACATGCAGTGCAGCACTTACAACTACCAAGTAAGCACTGAAACCTACTGGCATGAAACATTCAGATTGCAAATGGAAAATCTACCCAGTTAAGTACCACTCTCTCCTTTAAACACAGCAGTGGCAGTGCTTGGTTGACCTTTCAGGGAAGCCTTGTAAAAGTACCCTGTATTATAAAGCCAGCACAGCAAGGGTAATTTAATCAAGCTAAAAGAATTCTAACTTTTTTATTTCCTGACTTTCAGGGGTTTAAATTTTTAGCCTTAAACTGTCACTTTTGAAGGCTTTTTAACATTGAGTAATGGAATCACTATTTCTCCCCCCACTGAAAGGGGTATCTCCATGCAGTTAGGCAGAATGTACTCCCAAAAGGAACTATGCAGGAATTGCTCAACCAATAAAAACTCCCAAGGGAATTTATGCTGTCAGCTCATCAGAACATCCAATTCCCACCTCTAGTCCTGCAGGAAGAGGCTGGGGGCTTTTTAAAGGTCCCTTATTGACATGACCTTAGTTTTCTATCCTTTTAAGAAGTGGCTTCCAGCCCAGCCACTGTCATGGGCTCACTTCTTGATCCTACAGAAAAGGGAACCCGCCTGTTCTCCCAACCTTCTACACTCTAGAGTCCATCAAGAATGGCAGCTGCACTCCTGTAGCCTTCACATCACAGCATTTCTGGTGCCAATCCCTGGTTGGTGCAGTCCTCTCCCCTGCCCCCCAGACTTCTAGAGGCTGGATCTGATTCAGCAACAGAACCAAAATTGTAATGCCTTTATAGGTCAGACAGAAATAACACAAAATTGTAGGAATTGGGATAAAATACAGTGGGTTGGCATTATCTAAAAACTTTATTTGCCTAAATTCTTTCCTCATTTCTTTCTCCTTTGTTTCTCCTATGCCCATCCTTACTGATTATAATAATTTTTGTTAAAGTCTCTACCAAAAAAGTGATTTTTATTAAGTGCACTACCAAAATAGATCTGCATGATTGGTGCTTAAACATCTTTGCACACATTTAAAAATGTGCGAGTAGCTTTGAAATGTGCAAGTTCCTTAATAGCATTAAAAAAACCACCTTCATTGTTTTTCACATTTGCACATAGGATACATGTGTATGCCACCACTTACTTGGGTTTTCTTGAAAAAACTTTGGACTAATTTATATGAATTTTAAAACCTATCTTTTGAATGAAAAAGTCAATCATATAAAGGCAGTAGTTCCCTACCCCCTTCTCTTTTCAGAAAAAAAAAATATTTTTTTGAAGTCTGTTTACAAAGATGCACGATGTTTTATCTCTTGGCTTAGAGGAGCTTTTGAGAGGTTATTTCTTTTTTAGCTTTCTCTTCCTTAGCCTCTGGGCACTCACCAAAAACCACGTTGTTGGATCGCTCCTCAATTTCCCAAGAACTACTCTGCAGTCCTGTCTGCAGAGAGGTGGTTATCCTCTCTGTTCCCACTGCCTCGGCACAAAACTGGTCTCAAATGCTACTGCCATTGGGGAGGAGGTGAGGGGCCGGGTCTTTTCGCTGATCTTGGTGAGGGTAGGGTTTTTAGACTGACAGATCCTGAACTGGCAGAGGGAGGAAGCGAGAGAGCGCCCTGGACGCTGCAAGTGGGCCTCTTGGGACCGACAGCCTTCCAGTGGAGGAGCCTACCCAAGCCTATCAGTGGGGAGGACCCAGCACAGCCAGGAAGATTTGCGGTGTAGCACCTCTGTCCCCTACGCTGAAGATTTTCTGAAATACCGGGTCTTGCCGCAGGAATAGGCTCCTGGCCTGTAGAGCTCTGGTGATCCTAGCAAAGACAGATCCTAGTGTGGATTGCAGTTTCTCTCCAAAACCTGAAAGCCCCAGCTTGGGATTTCGCAGACGAGGTCTGTGGCTGGGAGGGCTCCTCCTTGTCCCCCCCCTTACCCTCCTCGGCCCCGCGCGTCTAATCCCCACTCAAGGGACAAAGGCCGAGGCAATTATGTGAGGGCCACAGCTAGAAAGCATTTCCCCAAGCTAGTAAAAAATGACCCCTGCCCATAACAACGTAGGGGCTTTCTCCTCTGGTTACCACCTTTCCTAATGTGCGCTGAAATCCTTTTATCATTATTATTTCAATGAAATCATTTCTCCACTGTATCTAAGATGACGAAAAGAGTTGAGCCGGACTCCAAGATGCACTCCAGAGCAAGGAAAACCTAATTATAACCCGAACTCCCGCGAGCGAGCGAGGCGAGCTGCCACGTCTATTTCCCACGCACTTGGGCCCAACTAGTTAATTATGAGTTCTAATTTTATTGCCTCTCAGCTCCTCCCGGTTTTCCCCACTATAGTGGTCTTAAAAAGAAACACCCACAGGGACACAACGGAATGAATTCCCTAGAAAGACGAGCGTGGATTTCTCTGCCTGTAGATAGATTTGAGAGCGCACGGGGAACCAGATGGGCCCATCCTGGCAGCCGGGGAACGAATCCCAGGGAAGAGCAGTTCTTCCCATTCTTCTGGACTTCGCCGTGCCCGTCTCCCTGCGGTTCCGCCCGGGCCGTCCCGGGGACGCCGCGGATTCCCGCTGTCGCTGCAGTTTCCGCCTCCAAACCCTGCGGTGGCCTGGGCCGGAGGCAGGGGTGGGGAACAGAGCACGCATCCAGCCTGATCCCGCTCTCCCGCTCTGGCCCGATCGGTCCCGACCTCCTCGGCCGGCGCCGGGACCGTGCCCACGGGGAGGAGTCATCGACGCGGGGGCTCTTTCCCGCAGGCTCTCTGCGCGTGCGGCCTGGGGCGGGTTTGTCTTCGTGAGGTCGTGGAGGGGGCAGACACCTACGGTAAACGGCCTTCTCTTGGGGCTTCGACGTGAACTGTCCCCGCAGAAGAGGGAATTGGGAGAGCTACGACACTGAGACACAGTGCGGTTTATACACCGTGGGATCTCATTTAAGTCTTGTGTGCTCTTATATAACCCTAGTCTCTGATTTCCCTGAACAAAAAAAAAGGAAAAGAAAAAGAGACGGTAATACTGCTTGTGTAAGTTTATCGTGAATGCTCGGACGTTGGGAGCCCTGAGCAGACGGTAAGACGGGCTGGGCACGGGTGATCCCAACACTCCCCTTCGAGGCGCGGACTCGTTTGCGGTTTCAGCCTCTCCCGCCCCAGTGCACGGACAGCGCACAGCCCAGGGCTCCGAGTACCTCCTGGGGACGGCAAGAGGATCCAGTCCGAACCGTGCAAGATGGGCTCTCCGGTGAATCATGACATGTTCAAGATTGCCTTGGACCATGATGGGTAAAGGTACGGAGGTTTGGAATTTAGTGGAGAGTTGAGGGTGGAGGAGGAATTGGAAGGGAGAACTAGAATTTTCGGGCTATGACAGTTTTGTGGATTTTCAACCTTGCCCCATCGTGGTAAAAATTGCGCGAGCGCAATCAAATGCACCTGTAGGTGGCGCTCTGATGAGGCGACTGCCCGCAGAAAGGTAGCCAGGGACTCAAAGAAAGCAGGACATTTTTCGTGAATCCGACCCTGACTTTCTGCTCTTAAACCCGGATTCCTGTTTTCGGAGAGAAAATGCGAGGACAGTATGGCATGAGTCTCCGTTCTCGAGGTCAGCGCGGGGCTGATCAGTGGTGGAATTAGGCTGGAGAAGGCGACAGGTTGGAAATCCCGCATCTCGACCGCACGGCGCCAGGCGGTCCCATCACCCTGTCCGTTGCCTGGGTGTGAGGACTCACGGAGCTGCGCGGGGCCAGAGGCGATTCGTGCGGACACTGTGCCAACTGCAACCCCCCCCCCCCCAGGACCAAGTCTCTGCACCCCTGAAAACGAGAGGAACGCAGATGCTTAGCACCAAGGCTGGCCCTCACATTGATTGCAGTACTTTGAAACCAACAGGCAACCCCAACCACGCTGCGTTCAACAAAACCTGGACCCTGGTGGGGGACCCGAAGGGTTTGTATGTGCTTGAGATCTGAAACCTAGGCTTACAGGCACGGCCTGGTTCTCGTTTATCTTTTCTAGGAACCTTTAGGCCAATCGGGTCTTCAGTAGGAGGCAGCCCCACTGCCTTCTTAAAGACCGCCAGAGCCTGTTCTTCCCACAGGCAGCGGCAGTTCTCTTTAGCCAGCGCTGCTCAGGCTGTAGCCACCGCGGACAGTGTCCTCGTCACTCAGTTCTGTGGCTTCTACAGATGCTTCGAATCAGGCAGGTCGAAGCGTCCCTTGGGCAGAACACTCAGCCCGGCGTCTCTGCTGGACTCCGCCCTGCTCGTGCCCCCAGCCGGACCCGATCCTTGATCGCACTTGCCACTCTGCAGCCAAGAGTTTTGCCCCTTGCCCCCAAAATGTGTTCTCTTTCATTTGTGGATTTAATAAACAAATATAACCATATCATACGGGGGCAACGGGCCGTCCTTCTGAAAACAATTCCGCTGTTGAAAACTGAAAAATGGGTGTAATTTGCGTTCAGAAAGTGATGTTAGGGTCACAGCAATTTCCCGGGCCGTTATTTATTTTTACTTTAAAGTCTTTAGGGAAGGTTTGCTTATATACTCAGGAACCTTCCAATGCGAGGGCACCAGCAATCCCGCTTGCCTTCAAAGCGAGGGGAAGGGGGGTGGGGAACAATTACTGAGTGACGCTAATGTGGGGAAACTGAAAAGAAATGTCGATTGTTTTTATTGTAACAGAAGGAGTGTGCAAACAGAAAAACCAACCCCGGGTGATCGGAAACAGGCAGGCGGAGAATTAAAAGCGGGTTTCAGGCAGCAACAAGCCCCTCCCCTGCCCTCGGAAGGAGAAAGCGGGTGAGGAGCGCTCGCAGCCCCAGGGCGGATCCCACGGCCAGCGGCGGGATTTCCGCGCTCCCGCAGGACCCCGCGGGCTGCTGCCCTCTTGGGGAAAGGGTCTCAACCGTGAGCACCAGCAGCCGGAAGGCAGCGAGAACGCGGGGAGGCCTTAGAGACTTTCGGAGAATTTTCCAGGTTCCTCTTGGGGGCCCCAGCGGCCTCTACTTGGGCTGGTGCGTCCGGATGCGTCCGCAGCCCGACGAAGTACAGGCTGGCAGGTCAGTGCCTGGACACCCCCTCCCCTCTTCACCACCACCACCACCCTGGCCTGGCTGAGGCTGAGCGCCCGGGCAGGCGGTCTCTCCCACACCCCCGGCTCTTCCCTTTAGCCGTCGCCTCCGACCCCGCCCGCGGCCCCAGGCGCAGATGGGGTCCAGCCCGCGGCCCAGGGTGGACCCTCCCTCTCCTTAGGCACCGGGTGCGCTTCCGGCTGCCACGTGCGGCAGCAGACTCTGGGAGGTCCAGTGGGCGGAGGGGCGGCCGCTGACCCTACCAGGCCCTAACGTAGCATCGGGCCGATCCGGGTTGGAACCCGCGGCCCGGGCGTTGGCAGGGCAGTTTGGCGAGGACCGGAGAAGTTCGGCCTCTTTCTCTCTACGAGGTGTGCAACCCTTCACCTACTCTGGAAGAGGCGCTCCCGTGGGGGGACCGGATCGGAGGTCTTGCCTCTACCGTATTCTCCCTCGGACGACTGGAAGAAGTAACTGTGTTTTGAAAACCCATCCCCGAGCTCAGACTCTGGCTGCTGTTGATCACCGAAGCTACCCCTGGCAGGGCGAGAGGCGGCCGTCGTCGCCTGAGCCTTTCTTTTCGGTCCTGTCTTTTCCCGACAGAGGGGCAAGTTGGAGGAATCTGCTCCTTAACATTCTCCTCGGCAACTCTAGTATCCCTAAAAGCGCTTGGTAATAGCAGGACCCCTCTCCCGCGCATACACACGCCCCTCTCAACCCACCCTCGCGCTCCGGTCCTATCTGCGGTCGTCGCTAAACTGCAGGACCGGGAAGAGGCGCGAGGCGGAGCCGCCAGGGACGTCGGTCCGGGTTGGAGAGCCGGGAGGTCCCCACTCCCCGCACAGCCTATGGCGCCTGGGTCCGGGCGCGGTCTGCCAGGGCCACGCGGGGGCGGCCTCGGAAGGAGCCAGAGTCCAGTTCCTTCCCCGCATCTCTTCCCAGACACCGCTGGTGCCAGGAGGGGCACGCCGCAGGTGATCGTCCGAAGCACTGGGACCGCTGACAGATTAAGATTTTACGGCTTCTAGCCCGGGTCCGCAAGGGCAGGGAAGGAGTCCAGCCAAAGGGGCGCGCTAAGTTCCCCAGCCGCGCGCCGGGACCCGACCGTCTCTGAACTCCCCGGGCTCCGACTCCCCTCGGGCCAGTGCCCAGGTCTGTCCCCGCCAGTGTCGAGCGTACGGAGTCTCGCCACCCCTTGAAGCCCCCTCCTTCACACGCTCCCATCCAGCCAGCTTCCAGTCTCCCACTGAGTAAATATTTACCCGGAGGACGGGTCGCTCCTCCGAGGAGATCTAGACAGTGCCCTGGGAAGGGCTTTTGGCTTCTTCCCGGCCTGTGTCAGCTGCAGGCCTTACTTGTTGTGTTTTGGTCTTAAATTTCTCTAGCCGAAATCCTTCCGATCTCTGTGTGATCTCCCAGGTTCAGAGGGGGCAGTAACCAGGGGGCGCTGACCTCAACTGACCCTTGCTTTTTCTCTGCATCCCTACGCCCACCATCAGCCGAGGCTTACTGGCCCTTACCGTTTCTCTTTCTCCCCCCGCCCCACGCCACCAAGCCCCCTTTCCCGCTTTAGGTCGCTGTGTCTCGTCGGGTCTCTGGCTACCTGGCCACAGTGCTCAGTGTGCGGCCTGGCAGGGGGTTGGTGGGGGGGAGAGGGGGGAGTCTGCATCAGCCCCTTCATCTAGGCTTGGGCACCTCTGTCTGTCTCCTGATGCTTCGACTCCTGTTGCCCCCGGAGCCCCGGCCTCAGGTTGCCGCTGATAATTACTGCTCCGGAACAAAATCCTTCTCTCGCTCTCGGGAATGCACTGAGCTGAGAGGGCCGAAGATCCGCACTCGCCAGCGTTAAAGGGCCTGTTGGGTCAAAAGAGACGTGAGCAGGGGGCCGAGACCACGCGCGACCACAGGTGGCAATGGAGAGGCAGCAGCAAACCTGTTGGCGTGGAGTCAGTCGCTCAGTCCTGTCCGACTCTTTGCGACTCCATGGACTGTAGCCCGCCAGGCTCCTCTGTCGGGAGACTTCTCCAGCAAGAATACTGGAGTGGGTTGCCATTTTCTTCTCCACGGGATCTTCCTGACCCAGGGATCGAACCCAGGTCCCTCGCACTGTGGGCAGATTCTTCATCGTCTGAGCCACCAGGGAAGCCCAAACCGGTTGGAGAGTCCGGGGAAATAGGAGGAAACTGAGGGGTTTGGGGGCGAAGGAGAGGGTGTAGTGTGTTCGGTCCTCCTAGCCAGAGCGCCAAACAATACGAGTCTCTGGATCACTCCAGGCTGGTGCTTCAGAACTCCTAAAGCCCTCACAGAGCGTAAAGAAGCACACCGCAGGACCAGATCTTGGCCAATTAGAAGGCAATCGGCCTTTATCAACATCACAGCCCAGCAAAGTCTGAGAAGCCCTCACTGGACAGGGCGTAGAGTCCGCGCAGGGTCGCTTACTCAGTATGTGTTCGTGAGAGGGAAGAGGGGTCAGAGGAACTCTTGATCAAGATGCCCAACACATTCATTCCTTCACACAAGCCTAAGGCAAAATCGTAGGCTCCTCTCAGATGTCGCAGACTCAAACTGCCCCAACAGTGATCTGCTTCTTTTCAAAGTTGGGATACACAAAGACCCTCCGAAGTTGTAGAACACCTGCATTACATGTAGATGCCACGTAACAGG